ATTATGCCATCACGCACAAATCGTGAGCTCCAACACACTGGCCTGCCACTTAGCCACGGGTGGATTCAAATGGAGACCACACTTTTGTTCCTTCTTGCGCTCGTCAGCATGCCTTTAGTTGCCATTCCAAAGGTGAGCAACGCCACTAACTCCATGGACTTGAGTGGGTCATTAATGCCAACCCATAAGTAGATGTGAAAATATATATTATTAATAACTATTAATAACAATACGTCCAAGTAATTGTAAACTTGACTCGAACATCCTAGAGGTATTTTTTTTGACCAAGTTACGATTGTGTTTGAATGAATTCACCCCTGATCAAAAGGGAGGACGGTGTTGTTTTTTTGGAATCACTTTTTACATTTTACGCATTCAAGAGGCGATTGTATTGTCTATTCCTACTAGAGTGTGCATGACCTGCTTATGCAATAAACAAGTGATAACAATGAGGTCACCAATACACTTTTATGGGACATTTTTATCCGGCGATGTTGATAGGGGCACCACTTAGAGGATGATGCAGGGTGATCTTTAAAATTAACCTCCGTAAACAAATATTACTCCATCGTTAGTATGGTAGAGTGTGCTAGGACCCTCCCGGTGGCTTAAATTACCACTTTTACAGCTTTGGATGTGTGTATATTTTGGGTTTAAAGTACTAAAAGCCCTTTTCTCATTAAAGGAATTGGTTGGTGAAGTGAAACTGAGTTTCTTCTTTGAAAGTGAAGATGGAAGACTGCCGCAAGGACAGACATGCGACCCCTGGCCTTACACTAGTTGTGATATCTACCTGACCATTTGTGTCACAAGCCAGGGTGATGGGTACTCTTAAATAAATTGTTTTTTTCAGGATTTGTAGATGAGGTTACTGATGTGATACTATTTTTGTGCTCCTAAGATCCTGCAACATATACTTCCATCGGACCGGTTTGTGGATGGACGCAAACGTTGGACAGGCAGCGGTTGCATTTCCCCTACGAGCGCCTGTTTCTGTAAGTCTGTGGTTGAAGTAAATTGTTCCATCAGAATTGTTTGATTAAAGCCATTTGCTCAGATTACAGTAGAGGGGCTACGATCTAGTGATACTGTAGTTATTTTCACATTTCACTGGTCTTTTCCAGTTTGTATAAAACCAACTTCTATTATTAGCATTTGGCACTCTTCTAAACATGCGTCTTTAATAAACATCTTATCTCTGGTTTTTAATGCTTCAAATACAAATCTTGTTATATATTTGCATTTTTCAAAAAAAGTGTTACTGGAAACACAAATTTTAGCCCTTAATTTTATCTATTGCCTTCAAATTTCGTGGTGTCTCATCCAACAAATTGTCAGATATAACTGCTTATAAATGGTATTTCCAACCGCAATTTTTAGATCTTTCAGTAACAATGGTATCATTTTGCAAGCACCTAAGTTACCTCATCACAAAATTGATAGTTGAATAATCTACCAGGGCATTACATATTCCCTCCTCTCGTTTAAATATAGTCTCCGACGCTACCCTTGGTCAACCTCCGGCAACAGCCATCACAAAGTAGTAAATGCTGCAGGAAAAACGCTCAGGAGTTAACCAATTGACCTCAGCGTCACTGATTTCTCTTAGCAATTCCACTGGATCTGGAGATTTTGGCCTGTATGTAAACTAGGTTCGGGGATGAGGGAATGTGTTGGCCATGATGCGTGTCTACCGTCAGTTGTGGAAACGTTCGCTTCTCTCCCTCCGTACCGCGTTGCCCTCACTTCATCATTGAGTGCCATCTACCTTGTAGAGAGGTGAACGTGGTATCGCGAGTTCAAATAATTAATACCGCGACAAAACACTTTTCCCGATGCTTCCCAGCTGGTGTCGAAGGTAGACACCAGCTTTCAGCTCTTCTGTTGGGGGCCATGACCGATCCTCCCATCCATAGCATAAGCATTTAATCCGCTTCACCGAGCAGTGAAAAATTAAGATAGACACCATTTAAAATTGGGTCCGCTTCCTCCTACCACTAACGTAGTAACCCAAAACTTGTCAGAAAACGAACGAAGGTATAATACCATGGCAGAGTGTGTTTTGTCCACATACAGTAGGGTTTGAGGCTACTGGCATGGCCCAAAGGGCAGCAAAATCCGGCGTTGGAACAATAACGACGCGCCTAAGTGGCCCCATTTGCGAAGATGAGAGTTAAACAAACAATTAAGGGATCACATTACAATGCAGTTTAATATGTTTGTAAAAAGTTACAAGCAACGAAATCGAATTTCGGTTTTCTTAGTTTTAAGATTTTCTGTCAAATTACCCATTATTGCGGTATAAAATGCTATCTCACGTTCCAGAACTAACAAAATATTGAAATTTGCAGATTCGGGAGTCTTATTTCATAAGTTAGGAGTTGGTTTTTCTCATATTCCAAACAGGGAATACTCTTGTCCAAGATTTATCATTTCAGTCTCTTTATTACTC